GGGGGGAGAGGAAGAATCAGATGGTCTATACATTTTAAAACTGGAAATTAATATTTTCCCCTTACTTTAGAAAGCTAAGAAGGAGTTGTCACATCATGTGGCTATCTCAAAAGCAGAGAAATTCTTCTCTTACAGCTGAATTTCTTGTGAGTCATATTCAAGTAAGGCAGCTTACCTCTCTAACCTCTCTTCTCCAGGCTTGTAGATAGAAATGGTGCAGGAGTGCATTGGGTCTTTTATGTCTAACCTTTGCACAGCTAATACTAAATTGTATGTATTCAAGGAGCTCTTCTGGTGCCAAGACATGAGGAAGATTTACAGGAAAATTCAATTAAATTCACAATGAGAGAAAAGATAAACAAAGAAATCACAACTGGAAGGCTCCCAGGTGTTTAAAGTGGATCCAAAAAGATGAAGTCTGCTAGAAAAGCAAAATACAGGTAGTCTAAACCTCTCTGGGAGAAGAGGTGAAAATACAGCATTCAGGAGTGAAGGTATTAAGAGAAGAGAGAAAAGGATAAATGCTGAGTGTTACATATAGAAGTGAGAATCATGAAGAGGCAGTACATCCGATCCTGGCTTTTCTCTAAGCAGAAAGCTTTGTTTCCAGGGTTTTTTGCAGGTGTGGGTTGACATTAGAAGGCTATGGCTACATGACAGAGCCCACACAATGACATCACACAGGCCAGCAACCACTGCCCCAGGTCCCTTTCCCTGTGCTCTGGTTTTGATGCAGATGGGGCTATAGAATGTAGTGTATAAACCAGTCAGACATGTACTGCTTAATACACACCCAAAGCTGGAGGATATGAACCTCATTTAAAGAGGACACTCAGCAGCAGAAAATTATCTAGAGTGGGCTTCATTTCACCATGTGTAGGTGTCTGTATCTGAGCTACCTATGCAGTTAAAGGAGATAAAAGACATTCATCTCCTCCTCAAATAGATAATTAAAACATGTCTGGTGAGTGCTACCTTCCCTTTCAGCTCTGGATGCTTTCAAGTACCCTTTTAAAAAAAAGGCTTCTGATGTTTTTTTATAACGTATTTTTTAGAAGAGGGCGAATGGTACTGTCAAAGCACTCCAAGCTGTGGGTGATCAAGTTAAGTGAGGTGAATCTCAGCATCAGGTTCTTCCATGGGTTACAGGAGAACCTTAGAGAGATCCCACTGCAAATGCCTCACATTTTTTACAGTGACTGCTTAGCCACCACATCAGCTTTCTCAGCAGGGTTCTCCAAGACCTATCCTAGGGTGGAGTCACCACACTCCTTGAATGATTTGAAAGTAAAAGCGATGTCTAAGTAGGTCAGAGCTGAACCAGAGTCGTGGATATAAACATTCTTTTTAGTACTGCTCAGTATCTTGAGTTTCCAAAGAGCTGGAAGCATTTGGGAACCCAAAAGAACGTGTGTGTGAGCAAGCATGTATTTTAAGGCTATCTTGAACGGCACTTAATAAAGCACCAGGATGACATGATGTCTTGAAAGAGTGTTAATTTTTGTCTCAGGTAAAGTATTCCCTCATGGAGAATGCACAGATGTCCAGGTTATATGGAAAAATACATGGTTCACAAGAAAAAGGAGGTGTCTGAGCAGGACACGCTGTGACAGAGCTCACAGACTGACGTGTTAGCAAGTTAGAAGAACACGTTACCTTCTGTGGGAAAATCGTCTACTTTGTAGACCTATGACAAAATTTAACCACGTACAGAGTCAACAATGTTACAAAGTGAGTTCCAGAGAAGAAACTCTGCGAAATTGCTTTGTATTGATTAGATTTTCCAAAAGTCTCAGCGAAATGCGAGTACAGGCAAGCTCTTTAAGGCGATTTCATCAGAAACAGGCAGAGCAGAAAAGGGTTAATAACTTCATTTACCGGGTGATGTATTCCCACGCAAGCCACTGTCAGCCTACAGGCCTGACTAATCCCAAGTGTAGTTGCTAATTGCTGTCATCCAAACAGTAGCTGGCAGCCATTTAATTTTCCCTTTCACTTGGTGTCATTAACATTAGTGACATATGGCTGTTTCCCTGCCCCAGCTCTGTGGCTACCGGGGAAACCTATGGCTTGAGCTTTGGAAACATAAAAGTCCATGATTAACTTCCAGTGTTTCACTGGTGTCAGGAAGAGCCATTTACGGATCTGGATCCTAAATGCCTGAAAGATACTAGGTTTTTCTGGGCATAACTTACAACAGGAGTGCAAAGGTACACTTTTTAGGAGCATCTTTAACTTATGCCAGAGTGATGGAGAGGCATAATAAAATGCAGGCAATTCTGGATATGTACCTTGAAACACATTGCACAGTTGTTGTAGTATAAATTATTAGTTACTAGTTTGCTCTTTTCCTTTCTTTTTCTTTTGTACTTTAATGTAGCAGAGCAGGGCAATTGTTTATAACTCAGATTGCATGAGTCTTCTGAATTACTTTTGTGTTCTCTCACTTGACTGAAAATGTTAGGTCAAGATTTCAGATACAGATCCCAAAGCTCCCAGTTTCACTGCCTGCTGTTTTTGCCAGATTTAAAACTCCTTTACCTTTGCTGCCTCATATGTAGGTACTACCTTTTCTTTGGTGTTAAGGTTACACAATATGTCCCAAGTCCCACTCTACTTTCCTCTACCTCATTTGTTCCTGTCTAAGATCATTAACTTTTTAAATAGTGTATATATATATATATATAAAAAAAAAAATAATTTTTTTCCCCCTGCTGGCCAGATGATTACTACGCACTGCCACCCTGCTTTCAGGTAAGATTTGCAGGATTTAATGTTACAGGCATTTCAGATCCTATTCAAATAGCACCGCAACCCAAGTGACAATATTGCTTTTAAAGCTCAAGAAATTTCTGGACCTTCTGTCATTTGGAAACATAAAGTAAGACCAAAAAAAAAAAAATTCTCAGATCTTAGTGATTTTTCTTGCTGGGAAGACAGCAAGTCCCACAGAAGACAGTAAGAAAATAAAATACAGTGAGTCTTTTATTTGTAAATTGGCTTCTTCCTATTCTGAGTTCTAAGAATAAATAATTTAGGATGACAAAACACATTCTGGTACTTCCTTTCCTCACCCATCCCTCAGCTGAATGGGAGGTCAGCTCACCTGAACTGACTCCTGCCAGCCCTGTTGCCTCCTTGAGAGTCCCTGGGAATCAGTGGTGCATGGAAGGCAGAAACCCTCACACTGCAGAGGGCAATTCTGCAGGCAGCCCCCAGGTTTGTTTCACACCCTGAATTTTTATGTCAGGCCTGCATCTGAAGCAAAAATTGCATTTTTCTGCAAGTTGACCTTGTACCCATTTTTCTGGCATGAAAAGCATGCTAAATCTAATGAATATGTTTTTTTTTCCTCATGTATTTTCAGAGTGAGTCCCTTGCTGCAAGCCTGGGAGAGCCTGCAGCTTTGTGTGTTATATTTCAGCAAAAAAAAAAAAAAAAAAAAAAAAAAAGGGAACCGCTGCTACAGCTGAAATCAGTGTTCTTCAGACATTGGATTTTATCTTGCAGTTAAAGTCAGCAACAAATCCTTGGGACCGATTTTGTGACCTACCTGGTCCAGGAGCACAAAACATAAAACAACAACACAGTTTCTACCTTGTTCTCCACTTTTTCTGGAAAAATAATTTGACTTTTTTTCATGTACCAATTTACACCATGAGGTGCTTTGTTTGTCACCCTGGTGAGCAATGGGGACCATCAATGTAAGCAGCATCACCCACTTTTCTTTCCTCCAGCTAAAAGCAGAGCAAGCCTTGGTATGAGAATGAAGTGAAAATACAAACTTGTCTTCATTAGCAGAGCATCACAGACTTCCCTTCCTGGCTGCTCCAGCAAGAGCCTCAAATGACATAAAATGAGCAAATTGAACCATTTTTGTGTTAGCATACAGACACAGCAATGACACCAGCCAGGGATGGAGAGAGGGCTTGCGTGATGCAGGCAAAGATCTGACTCTCCCCTTATACACCTCATCTCTTTTCAAGAGGTGAGTAAAGGCTGAGTCAAACCTGGATCGCTGTGAGCAGCAACAGCAGTAAAATTACAGAAAATTAAAAAAGGCTCTGTATTGGAATTTGAAAAGGTAGATCAATAGGGACAGGAACATCCTGTGCTAGCCACGAGGAGCCCTGTATCTGTGCTGGGTCTTGCTGGTTAGATAAGAATAGGCAGAAAGGAAGAAAGACCCAGGAGGGAGCAGGGAAGTGAGCAGGTTTGGCAGAGATGCCAGGGAGGCAGAGGACAGCCAGTGCCTGGGGCAGTCACACACTTCATTAGGAATGAGTTGTTGGATATTGCTGGGGAAGGGGAGACAAAATCCGAACTGAAAGGCAACCACCGAGGGAGAAATGTACATAATTCTGGGGATAATAATGATTTGGGTCAGGCCACGAATAAGCTGCTTTCCCATCTCACGGGACAGAGTCGCTGCCGCGCTCTGGCCAGCAGCTGAACTGTCCAGCGTACATCTCGCCTGGTGAGATCCTTTCTCGAGGAGGGGCTCGGACATCCTCGGAGGAGCAGGGATGAGGGTACAAACAGCTCTCACCGCCTGGCGCTGCCACGGGCAGGGATGGGAGCGGGGGTGCCAGTAGCCAGGCAGAGTTCGGCGGGGGATGCAGGGCCGAATTCCACCCTCCAGTGCCGCTCCCACCCCGCAGCCTTTGGGGCCGGGAGCTGCAGCCGGGAGGTGCTGCCGTGCTCCGCAGCACGGCCCAGGCTCCCGGTGGTGCCTGCCGGGTTTCCCTCCCACCTCGGAGCTTTTTGGGGCTGGCGAGATGCAGCCGGAGGATGCTCCGCGCTCCCTTCGCCACGCCGGGGCTGGACCAGCCTCGGCAGCGTGCGCCTGCGCCGCCGGCCTTCCTCGCTCTCCTCCTCCTCCTCCCCCCGCTGCCGGCCCCTCCTCCCGGCTCTGGCGGTGCCGGCTGCCGGGGCGGGCGGGCGGCGGGGCCGCTCTGTCCGTGCAGCGCCAGGGTTATGCCCGGCTGCAGGCGGGGAGCAGGGCCAGGGGCAGCCCGCGGCCGGGGCTCCGACGTGTCCGGCAGGAGCAGGGCGCGGTGATTCCCACCGCCACCACCCCCCCGCTCCCGGGAAGGGGTGCGCGGGCGCTCCGCGGCGGGGGAGGAGGAGGATGCTGCTGCTGAGGATGCAGAGGATGCGGCGGGCCGGAGCGGAGCGAGGGTACGCGGGCAGCGCCTGGGTGTGCTGCTGGCTGCTGGGCTGGCAGGCGGCCGCCCTGCAGCTGCCGCCCTGTGAAGAGGTGAGATTTTCCTCCTCCTCTTGGGGCTTTCCCTATTCGTAAGGGCGGGGGGGGAGGGTTTGCACCGGTTCGGGAGGAGGGTGGCACCCCAGGAAGGGGGTGTTGACGGTTCTTGCTGGTCCCCCCAAGGTTGTTCGTGGGACGATAGAGGGGTCAGACCCACGGGGAAGGACCCTCCACCGCCGTGCAGGGGGGGGAACTCTGTGGGGCGTCCAAGCCCCCCTCTCACGCTAGAGCGTCCCACTTGGCCGTCGGTCGCGATCCCCTCCCGGTTGTCGCTGCTCCCTCCGGTGCACGGAAATATCAGAATCCCCCCTCCAAACCAGGGTGACGCGGCTGGCCTCCTTGTTTTTAAAAAATACAGTGTTATATCAGCGCAAAGGGGGAGAGTAAAGGAGGGATGGTGTGTGAAGCTGTCCTGCACCCCTCCCCGTGTCAGCTCGGGGTGTCCTGGGCTGAGCCGTGTGTGTGACATGGGGAGAGAAACTTTCTGCCTCCCTCCTGCTGTCAGAGCCCGAACCAGGAGGGACTCGGTACGTTCGCAGCAGGGGCGCTCCGCACCGCTGTGCGGGATGCGGGCTCTGAGGCGAGCGGACAGGGATGCGCAGCCCCGCGTGTCCCCGGAGAATCCCAGTCGGAGGGGACCAGGGCTTCATGAAGCTCTATTCCAGGTTTTCCATCCTCACTCCTCCAAGCAGGGAAATCCTCTCTGCTGCTCTTAAAGAGCAAGTGGGTCTTTCCAACGTTTTAAACCGGCTGTAGGGGTGAGGGCTGGGTACCACCTTCCTTCTACCCACTCCGAGGATGCTCCGGGAACAGAGCTTCCCCACCTCTCATATTGCAGTTGCACCGTTTAGCAAGAGCTACTTTGTATATTCTCAGATGGATTGGGGGTGGGTGACTGCAGCCAGCGGGGAGCACTCGGCTGGTGAGGGGTCTTGATCCATGCTTGGAGGCTATTGCAGTATGGGATATCCTCTCCTGAGGGTGCAGAAGCCCGTGTCTCCTACCTGTGGCGAAAGAGGGCATCCCTGACCCGGGGAATAGTCCCTCTTTACCTGTGGAATCCACGTTTTTGTCTTACAGAGCTCAGTGCTAGTCTAGCGTGGGAAATCTTGCAGTAGGGGGACATGTGCGATAAGCAAATCAATGTTTGTTTTGGGCATATTTCTTCTAAATATTGGTCATCCTCAGAGAGGGGGAGTTATGCAGCCACTTGCTTTAAATTACTTTCTCCCTTTTTGGCTAGTGAAGGGAAACAGATCTTCTTCTAAGGTCTTTGCTTCAAAAAATGAACCTCTGCAGATTGTTAAAGGTGACAGACAGCTGAATCCATGCAGAGGTACCAGAAGCAGAGACATGGCATTTTGAGCATCACATACCGGGCTTTAGGTGTACAAATTCTCTCCTGAGACCCACTCCTGTATCCCTCTGGACCTGGACCCGAGTGCTTTTTCTTTCCTTTCAGAGGGATGGAAAATGTTGTTTTACTTCATTTTAATACTATTTGAGACAGAGTCAGCCCTCACTCATATGGTCAAAAAGCTGGGCATTAGTTGTGCCGGTGTGTGTGTGCAGCCATGCAACTGTATGTCCCAGGAAATATAATTACAAACATGTCAGGATGGAGAGAGAGAGAAAAAAAAAAAAAAGAGCTTGCAAAGAAACAGGATAGCAGATGAGCTGATTTACAGAAGGGAAGAATGGAAGTTAATAGTTCACAAAAACATGGCTATTATGTGTTAGGTTCAAAACTTTGCCGTTTGTCCTAGTTCAGCCCAATTTGAATGATCTGGGTGTATTGCCATTAAAATCACGGGAGCTCCCAGGGTGATTGACTCTGGTCCGGGCAGACTCGACAGGGGATGAAGTTGTGCAATAAGAAAGCACAGGCTGTCAGAGGGTGTTGCAGTCCTTTAAAGACTTAGTAGATGCCTTGTTGTTTTATACCCAAAAGGTTTGAGAAGCACAAGGCTTAATGCACTAGCAGGTAGTTAATTTTCAATCTAAAGGGCATCTTTCCTTTATCGGAACTTTTCCCCCTCCTTTCTTGACAGCTTGTTTTTCTGTTCCCTCACTGTTATGAGAATACAGATATCTGCCAGCCTGTGAGATTTCTGCACCGGTACAGCATCTGGAGCAGTGGGATCTCTGGCTATACCCGAGGCTCCGTGGTGCTCTGATTACATAGGCAGTAAAAATAATAATGTGTAACAATGTCACTTTCCAGAAGCCTTTTTGTCATTGGCTTTGTTTGTCAGGGGCTGTAGTAGTTCAGCACACTGGATTTAGGAAAGGTGTGTTTGTGCTGCAAACCAAACGTACAGGCAGCTTGAATGAATGTTCCCATGAGTTTTTGGAGTAAATTGATACAGCCATAAGGTTCTGATGTAACAGTGTTCAGTCCAGGCTGTGATGACCATTCGCATCGTGAGCTCTCCCTGAGCTCTCCAGTGCCAGCAGCTAATCTGAAAGCGAGCCATGGGAATCTCCAAGAGTTGGAGGCAGGCTCAGCTTGGATGGCCAGGGTACCTCTGGGTGCAGAACCTGGGGAGACCCACGGTCCTACTCTGTGCCTCTGGTGACTTGGTAACTCAAATTAGGACAGTGGTAGAATGTCTTGGTGAATTCTTTCTGCTATGGCAATGATGATTGGAGTCCCCATGCAAAGGTTTCATGTGTTGCATAAATTATGACTTTGAGCAGAATTGATGACACCTGTGTTTTTCACTGCCATTAAATACACATTTGGCTGTTATGCTGGAAACAATCAGATATTTATGCCTGTCTTCCTGCTGCTGCAGGGACAATCTTTGTTACATCTTATGTTCCAGTGTTTGGTGCTTTTTCTAAACTTTCCCAGTTGAATGAGTCCTCTTCAGCTTCCCCCCAGAGATTCACCCAAATCCAAGCAGATTTTGCTTTTAGGACATTTTATCTGATACTCAGCCTAATTGGGTCTTTTCTGCATTTCCTCTTTCCTTTCCCTATGTTGTTTTTGGAATCATAAAAAAAAAAGCAACCCCCTCCTCCCCAAAACCTCCAAAAATCAACCAAAAAATCAACCAAACCAAAACCGCTGAGAGACTCTTCTCTTACCTCCCATTCAGCCAAATTGCTTGCAAAGAGAAATATGCAGTGTCCAAGCTGCTGGCAAAGATGTTTTCTTTCATATCACTGTTTGACTCTCAATTACTATGCAGATTGAGAACAAACACATGACTTTGATATTGGTAATAAATGTGATTCTGATACATTGCATGGTTTACCTGCTGTTTCAGTAAACAGGTAAATGAAAGGGTATTGCTAAATGCTTTATTTAAGGGAAAGTATTTTTGTACTAGTCTGCTAAAATACTTCTGGAAAAGACAAAAATTATATAATTGTAAAATGAAACAGTCTTTTAGAAAATCACTTGCAAGGCAAAGGTAAGGAAGTCTTAATAAAGAAGGGGAAGCATGAACTTGAAATTAGGTCAGGCATGGTGGATTAGGTGTGTTGAAATGGTGCCAGTTTTCATAATGAACAATAGGGTGTGTCTAAATTAAGTGTGAAGTATTTTAAGTATATTACTATATTAAATCAAGATACTAGGTACTGAGCTAAGCAACCTGGGAAGCAAGGTGAAATGATGCCTTTCCATGGGTAGAGGGGAGATACATGCCAGCCTTGGAAGGTTGTTACATAAGCCAGCATGTCTGTCTCCAAATATACATGGCAGGAGCAACAGGGATGTCTGCTGGAAGGAATCTGAGTATCTGAAACACTCTTATGTCATAAGTGAACTGTACCTGCTTAAAAAAAGGTTTGGGGTCATTGTGGATGGCTCTGCAGGGGCATCTCATGTGCTGATGGTGAAAAAATTTGGATGTGTAACTAAAAAGAAAGAAAAGAATCAAACATGTCAGAGTGGTTCTGAGCCTTATCATTAGTACTTAGGGACCGTGAAGGTTTAGTTTGTTCCATAGCTGGTTAATGAGCGTACAGTGATCACAGCAAAAGGTGGTGCTCTCTAGGTAAGCAGGGAATAGCTTGATGGAGGAAAAGAAAGAAGAATATGCATTAATGCATGGGGTAGAGAAAAGTAACGAGATGCAAATCTTTAGGATGAGACAGAAATAAAAAAGATTTTTGTGCACTTGAAAGGCTAAATGTTATTACCGTTAAAAGGTAATCCTTGGTTATTTTTATGCAATTGTAAACAGCTTGGGACTTCTTGATCTCTGAGGTTCATTTAGTCTCTGCTGGCCTTAAAAATCTCTGAAGAGATTAGCTCACTGTTAAACATTTTGGAAGAATTTTCCTGAGATGACTTTCTTGCTGTCCCTTATTGGTACCCTTGTCCCTTTCTGTAAGGCATCTGCACTGGCTATTTTGGCAAAAGAGCTGCTGGGGTGATTCAGTGTTGTATTCCTTGATTTCTAACCACCCTGAAAGATCTTAGACTCTTAATCTATGAACAGCTCATAGTCAGCAGAAGAGGCTGTGGAAAGATTCCTAGACAGACCATATTATTTTTGTCACCTCTTGCTACGCAGATTTGTGTCTTTGTGGGGAAAAGAGAAATGTATAGCTTCCATTTTCCATGGTGATGGAGGGTCATAAAGATGAGGAAAGAGGAGCAAAAACCATGCTATAAAACTGCTGACAATAAAGTTGATGGATGTAAACATGTGCAGAAAAGGTGAGGAGACAGATGCTGAGACACAGGTACCAGAGCAGAAAGAATCCCCACCGAAGCACTGAGGCAGACCAGGGTGGGGAGTGGGAGAGAAGCACAGGAGAAACTGGTGAGATGTCAGAAATTTAAACCTGAGAAGGAAGACAGATGCTGGCATGAAAACTGGATAGTGAGCCATGGCTATAATGATTCAAGAATAAGAAAATTTGTCATGGTGGAACTGCTGTAACAGACCATAAACTCAAAAGAGAAGTAGCCATTAAACCAACACAAGATTGCATTTCTCCCACCATCAAGCATCACTCGATCATTCAGGATG